GTAAGTTTGATTAAAGTTATAGAATATAATTTTAAATCTAGTTCTGTCTATATAGTAGTAGTAGTAGTAGTAGTAGTAGTAGTAGTAGTAGTAGTAGTAGTAGTAGTAGTAGTAGTAGTAGTAGTAGTAGTAGTAGTAGTAGTAGTAGTAGTAGTAGTAGTAGTAGTAGTATATATTTGTTGCAACAAAAGTAAAAAATAATTGACAAAATACAAATGTAGATTGTCAGATTACAGTTTGTGCAACTTCCACTAAGGAAATCTGCACGCTGTATTAACATTGGAGCTTATTGAGGCACGATTTGAAGCTATTGTCATTTGGTAAGATAATCCATGTTGAGAGAGATTTGCTTTTAGATTAATACTTTTGTTTTCCAGTGCAGATACGCGGGTGAGAAGGATGCTGACTTTGGCTATTATTTTAGGTATGGCAGCATCAATCTTTTGAGAAGCAACTGAACCTTAACTTAATCCAGGCCAGTTGGCTGCTAGAGCTGCAAGTTGGTCAGTTAAATATGTGCATTATCATAATGATTTACAAATTGTTTAGTCTGATAATCTATATTTGATAAGAGGGCTACCACTGTGAATAACAGTAAATTACCTCTTGATCGAAAACTTTTTGAATTTTTTATTCTTTTGTTATTCTAAAATCTTATAAACACAGTAAAACTAGGGTTGTTAATGTGTTTTTTTTTTCTATTAATTGTTAATATATATATATATATATATATATATTATATATATATATATATATATATATATATATATATATATATATATATATATATAGATATAGATATAGATATAGATATATAGATATATGATATATATATATATATATATATATATATATATATATATATATATATATATATATATATATATATATATATATATATATAGATATATAGATATATAGATATATATTATATATATATATATAGATATATATAGATATAGATATATATAGATAAATATAGATATATATAGATATATATGTAGATATGTTACTGTTACCTGCAGCACCAGGAATTAGCATATAGCTACTGTTTATAATAATATAGATAATATAGTTTTGCAACTTGGAGTTTCATGTGCAATCCATCAATTTCTGTTGATGTGCAACTTTGAGTAGTTCAGTTTTTTGTTGCTTTCTCAAAATCAATTTACTCAGACTTAGCATGTTTTGCAAATTGACTTTTTCTTAAATCAAGTTCTATAAATATGCAAACTGTTTTAGTTTCTTGCTAAAATACTTTTTAGTTATGTGTTAAAAATGTATGAGTTATAAGTAGAAACATTTGTATTTATATTTTTCTAAGTAGTTTTTTAAGATATCTTTGAGCATATTAAGTATATTTATTAGTTGAATAACTTAGCTGTAGTAACTTAACTGGTTGTTTAGTTTATAGGTAAATTTCTTGTGATGTACTTTATCCATTAAGTAAATCACACTAACTTTAACTTAAAAATAGAAGTCGGAAATTATTGCCTCCCACAATAAGATTTATGTGATTTTATTAAATATAATAAATATACTCAATAACATTAAAGTTTTAAACTACACTAAAAGTTTATCAAATTCCCATTTTGTTGGCTTTTGATTTTTGTGTCAAGCTACCTTAGAGACCTCTACTAATACTTACAGCGATATCAAGGTTTAAGGAATTTATTTAAAAAAAAATCTAAAAAAATTTAAAAAAATATATTGGAAATATTATGTTAGAAAAATAGCAATAACAAACTATTGCACAAAAGATACAGTTTTCCACAAAGGTCAGTTTTTGAATTTAATTCTAAATCAATATTGCAAAAATTCATGAAAAAACAATTCAATAAATTTATGTTTACAAAAATAATAACAGTTAAAGCTTACATTTTTTAATTTATTGTTAATTTATATTCATTTTCAGTTAATGCAAGTATTATAAATAAACAAAAAAATTGAAAATAGTAACCTTTAGTAAAAAGGTCTGGAAAATATGTATGGTAATTTTAAAATCAAGCAGTAGAAAATTATATTAAAGATATTTGCACATTGTACATTAAAATTTGGTTTTTGTTAGGAGTAAACGTATATAAATTATTTAAAAATTTAAACCTTTTAAATTAGACATTAATTGATAATAAAAATAATAATAAAAAGATATATTTTAAAATATATTATTTTTTGTTGTTGTTATAAAGTAACTATAAGTTGTATAAATTAGTTTTTGTTTTTAAACACCTTTGTCTTTAATTCTATGATAACCATTAGAGAGTTATGACCGTTTAAAGGGATCCTTAAGTGCTCAGACAAGTTGTGTTCATGTTAAAGAAAATGTTTTAAAAAAATGTTTGGGCAGCATTTTTTTGATTAAAACCAGTGCTCAAAATGGAATGGCATGCAGCGGGATGCCATTCTGTCACATTTTTATAAAGTATAAACCATGCTGCCACCTTTTTACAAATCTCTATATATAACAATGATTAAGCGGGATGGTATTTTCAATTTACTGAATACCGTCCTGTTACTTTTTTTTCTCCACTTCGAGCACTAATTAAAACTAAATAATAAATGCATATCAATAAAACTAAAATTGTTGTTTTAGTCAAAGCTTGCATTCTCCAATTTTTCTTGATTCTCTGAGTCTTTATATATTCCACAATCTGCAGTCTACATAATTTATTTCATGCGCTCATAATTTATAACAGTTTCAATATATGATGTCATAATGGATTTTTTTGTTCAACAATTAAATATAACATAAGGTATCAAAGGATTTTTTTGTTCAACAATTAAAAAATCATTTGTATAATTTTTCACTAAATTCTAAAATATATTCCTAATGCATTAAAAATAAAAAAATATATTTGGTTCGTCAACTGTCAGGATTATTTTTTACTTAATATCTTAAAATCACCTAAGTTCGCTCACTTAAGCTTTGAATATTCGTATCTTTGGCATAAATAAACTTTTTATAAATTTTTTTTTGGATTATACAGACAACTATATTATTAATATATTTTATAAAACTATTTTGGTAATTGTCAAATAAAAACAGCTAGACCAAACTTTTAATACCATCCGATAAGTACGGTCACTATATACATTTCAATCAAAACATTGCAATATTACAAGTTTAACTTCCCAATAACACATCACAATATTACAAAATTAACACCCAAATAACACATTGCAATAACAGATTGAATATCACAAATTTTACACCAGAAATTATGAAAACTAGTTTTTTTAATGTTGTTTTATAATAAAATATGAAACAAAATTGTTTAATTAGATTTTTTTTTAAAGTTTTTTTTTTTACTTGACAGCTTTGATAAAAAATGTTATCATCTTAATAAAAGTTTTAATACAACTAAATTTTTTTTTTAAATTGATTCGCATGCATTTTTCACAACCAATGTTTCGCGACATTTCTGCTCATTGTTGTTTTTATAATGTAGTGGCGCATTGTTGCATAAACCATAAGTGACCAAAGTTATATTATTTTAAAATTTCATTGATTTTGAAGAAAAGTAGTACTTAATATTTGAAAATCAAAAAAATAATTTTTAAATATTGTTAACTTGGTAACTCAATAATGTTAGTGCTGAATTGGAAAAAAAAAGTTTATAAAAATTGAAATACGCATGCAATTTTGTTATTTATTTTGACCAATGTTACATGGTGACCAAACTTAGGCAGTTTTATGGTATATCTTTTATAAAAGATACTTTATAAAAGATGAAAAAAAAAAGATTTTATAAAAATATATAAATTTTCATTTTTGCTTATTTAATGTTTTTTTGAAATAAGCATATTTTGTTGATCATATGAAATATGATTAAATACAATAATTTTTCCAGTTAAATGTCATATTAGTGTATGTTATATTGCTCTGATTTTGAGGCGTGGCTGTCTAGGTACCAGGTTCGAGTCCACCATTAGAAACTAAGTTATTTAATTTTAAATGTTTTATTTAAAGTAGTTTTATGTTTTTAACTAGTATTATTGTTTATATATAGTAACATTACATTATATTGTGTTATTATAGTTTATTTAGGTTGGCACAGTACATATATCAATTGACTTAAAAAGTTATAGGTGCAAATAATAATTAATTAAAACAAAGTTTTATCACTTTGAAAACTTCAAATAGATAAAATAAATAATACAAGTTTTACAAAATAAGTTTGATAAAATATATTCTAACATGGACAAATAATTTTTTGTTAAGATGTGAAAGTGCACTAACTTTTTAAAATAAAAATCTAGATAAAGATTTATACTTACAATTGTTAAAAACAAGTTTCACTACTGAAATCTCAAAACCAAATATATTTTTTTATTTTTAATTTTTTAATCACAATAATTTTTTATATTCAGTTAAAAACTATACAAATAAATACGATTTGCTGATTGGAATAAAAAATACTTTATTATCTTAAAAAATAAATCTACAATGATGTCATATACTGAAAATATTATGAATTAAGTTTGCATGAAATAAATTATGCAGTCTGCAGATTGCAGCATATATTACAGGGTTGCCACTTAACCTGGAAAACTTGAAATAACTGGAAATAGCATGAATCCCAGGGAAAACCTGGAAAACTCAGGGATTTTTTCAAATTTTTATAAAATTCAGAGAAAACTCAAGGAAAATAATTTTTTTTTTTTTTTTTTGAAATTTTGTACAATAATTTGCTAATACATATAATAATAATTTGCTAATATATATAATAATAAGTTTGCAAGATGTGGGTGTTTTTGTAAAAGTTTTAGTTTGTCAAATATCAAGATTGTGTTTAAAAAGGAAAATAATAATCTTGTTGATGAACAGGAAAGAATATAGAAAAGTCAGGGAAAACTCAGGGAACTTAAAGTGTTCAACTCAGGGAAAAACGTTCTTTACTCAGGGAATACTCAGGGAAAACTCAGGGAAAAACTTTAAAAATTATAGAGAAAAGATGGAAAAGGCAAGCTTTGAAAAGCTGAGAAAAGATGGAAAAGGC